TATACTTAATTTTTTTGTGTTTTTTTTTCCCCCTACAGTCTCTTGTTTTTATATAGGAAGAAATGTTAGAATATAACTTTTTCATTTCATAAAGACCCCCAAACAAGTAAACTGTCAAAGAGTAAATATTTTGGATTTGTAGATCATAACGTCTGTCACAGCGATTCATTTCTGCTCTAGTAGCACACACATCAGCCCTAAACAGTATTTAAACTCATGAGCTTGGTTATGTTCCAATAAAGTGGTATTTACATAAACAGACAGCGGGCTGGATCATTTGCTGACCCTGATTTAGATTGATCTCTACATTTTTTATATTTATGTGTGCTTGCCCAAATTCTCTATAGTTAAGGCACTAAAATGAAGGCATTGAGTGAATAAGTTTTGTAACCCATTTAAAAGTATGAAGTTGTGAAGTAGTAAAACTACTGTTTTAGTGTAATTAAATGTTTATTTTGACCTTTGTCCAGGGTCTTAAATGAATGTTTCAGAAAAATATAATCTTTTTTTTTATGTAAATGTATAGGGTTCATATAGGAGACTTTATTGTAAATTTGTCAAATTTTATCAAATACTTAGATTTTTCTAAATGATGCAAATGTTTATTTAAGTAATAAGTAACATGTTTAAATTTTTCTCTAGTTTTACTCCCAAGAAAGAAGAGGAGGAAAGCCAACCAGCAAAAAAAACATATACTTGGAATACAAAGGAGGAGGCAAAGCAAGCATTTAAAGAATTATTGAAAGAAAAGGTATTTCTATTACTGATGTTTATATGACATAATAATTTTCTGATAAATGAATTTACTCTTTAATGCAATCAATACTATGATGCTTCTATTGAAAGCACTGATTTCATAAAATCATAAACTTTTTGTTGTAACTGAAAATGAACTAAATTCTTCTTGGTGTTTTTTGAAACACGTTTTTGTACTGTGCAGTACATTTCACCTCAGTATTTAATATAAGAAATTTTAATCATAAAAATTGTTTGAATCAGTAGTCTAAACAAAAAGTATTCATGCTCTGTTTAAATTTCAGTTTAAGTTTTCTTTTTAGTCTATAGATATATTATCCAGATTTGCCTTGATTCAATAAGAAATTATTTTTTAGAGCTTTTTTAAAACTGCAAAGGAAAGTACTGTGGTTTCCAGTGAGTATAACCCTTTGTTCCCTGTTATATAACTTTTACTACAATTTGTGTGAAATTTAAATTTTTCATTAAATGGTTTTCAGCGGGTACCATCTAATGCTTCATGGGAGCAAGCTATGAAAATGATCATTAATGACCCACGATACAGGTACTACTTGGATTTTTTATTTATTTTTCACTTTGAGCATAGCAATCCTAGCAAATTCAGAATCGCATAAAATAGTATACTTTTTCACTCTCATTGTGTTCTGTTATTTTAGATACCAAGAATAGAGTTGTTTTATGTCTGATAAGAACCAAAAGAAAAATATCCAGAAGGCTTTTATAATCTGAGTATCCTGCTACAGATGAAATTAGAATTATTTTGGAAGTAGAAATTATTTCCTATAATCACTTATCTTTAATATCTTATTGAAATTTTCTTAATTTGTGAATGAAATCATATACTGTTTTTTTCAAAGCACTAACATTTGATCATCCTGCCTTTGTTTACTCTTACATGTTATTTTTTTTTATTATTTAGTGCTTTAGCAAAGTTGAGTGAAAAAAAGCAGGCCTTTAATGCTTATAAAGTCCAGACAGAGAAAGAAGAAAAAGAAGAAGCAAGATCAAAGTACAAAGAGGCTAAGGAATCCTTTCAGCGTTTTCTTGAAAATCATGAGAAAATGACTTCCACAACCAGATACAAGTAAGATTTTTAATGAGACAGGTTGTGTTTACTGCACTGTTCCTGTATCAGACTTTCTGCCAAGTGCAGTAACTAATCCAAAGTAAATGCTTATGAAATGAAACTAAATGATTGTAAACATGGCAGTTTCATTACATACGTGAAAATCAGTACTTTAATGTGGAATTTAACTTGTAGGCTCACAGAGTTATTAATTAGGGACTGAAAAAGGGGAGTTTGACTCCTTTCATCTTAATATAAGAATTGAAATTGGGGTATTTGTGGGTGAAATAGGCTATTTTCATTAAGCATAGCATTTTGAAAACTTGCATTTATATAGCATTCTTGATTTTACGGGGCTTTATTATTTAAAATTGTGGGTAGTTCAGTATTAACATTTATGTAATAAGCTGTTAAGTTAATTTTTCCTATGTGCTTTCTTACAGTCTTCTAGAAAAGCCTTAGTGAAATGGATGCCTAAGTTGTTTTGTTCTTTTTCTTAATTATCCAGAAGTTTTCCTTTATAATACAGTCGTGAACTTAGAGTGAAAAGAGTGTTCATTTGGTGGTTTTAAACTTACTATAAAATTAAAATGGTTTAAAATTAATTTTTATTGTCTAATATAGAGTAACAATTAATTTTCTTAACAAATAGAAAAGCAGAGCAAATGTTTGGAGAGATGGAAGTCTGGAATGCAATATCAGAACGTGATCGTCTTGAAATCTATGAAGATGTTTTATTCTTTCTTTCGAAAAAAGAAAAGGTATTCACTCTTGGTTTTTGGTATTTATAGATAAAAAGATGTTTTTTCATCCTAATTAGCAAGTACTTTATAACATGTCCATTTTTGTTGGTTATCCAGTGTAGATGATGCAACATATTTATGACAAGTTAGATTTAAAAATGGATAACTTCTATAATAATAAGTGCTGATGTGGACATAGTAGGTACACATTCATCTGTTACTTGAATTGTGACTAATTGACTGTCTTATGCCTACTTTGAAAGATACTTTTTAGCTCATAGGTGTAAAAAATACTATTTTTGCTTATAATGCATTTACATATAATTTTTTACTATATAATTAAATATTAAGGGCAGTAATATTTAATGGTTGTATATTATCCACTCTTTAAGAGACTTATAGAAATGTAAGTATTATTAACAAAAATTTGAACATAGCTGGGAGTGGTTGAAGACCTTAGCATTTATTCATAGTATAATTTGTCTGCAATAACTTTAGTTTTACTTTGTGTTTATAATACGTAGTTGTAGGAAGAGACATTTATTGGAGGGGGATAAGGTGAGACAAGTTTTCCAGATTCTAGCTTCAGAAAAGAGGTAAAAAAGTTGAGGGTAGGTACCACGCCAAGCATTTAGGCAAGAGCCACTGGTAAGGTAAATAATTTTTAAAGTAAATGCATAACATTTGAAATTTGGTTGGTCATCACTTAGAATATAAGGAAACCTTTATTAATTACAGTTTGAACATTATACTTTCTCTGAACTTCAAGACATGTATTCATGCTTTTGATTTAGGAGCAAGCAAAGCAATTGCGAAAGAGAAATTGGGAAGCCTTAAAAAACATACTTGACAACATGGCTAACGTAACATACTCAACTACTTGGTCAGAAGCCCAGCAGTATCTGATGGATAATCCAACTTTTGCAGAAGACGAGGAATTACAGAGTAAGCATAATAACTAAATAGGAGAAACAGTTTTAAAAAATTGTCCAGCAACAAAGAATTCTTGCTTTTTTAATGAGACTGCTAACTGAATTTTACACAATTGTTTGTCCATTTCTGAAAACGAGTTTTGTTTCCAAATAGAATATTTCTTTCTAGTTGAGTCTTATGGTTCAGGACAAAAATATTTTCCCAGAAATCTGAAGTTAGATTTGTCAAATAATCCTTGAAATATGTTTATTATTGGAAATTATCTTTGCCATTTATATGTGACTTGGTAAAAACCAAATTACTACATTTTACTCATGCTATCTTCTTGAGGTAATGGATTTAGAGGTTTTCAAAAAGCAAAATATGGATTAGCATTATTTTAGATTCAAGTTTCTTCAAGTTCTGTCCTTCTAACCTACCTAGTTGCTTTTTAAATTACAGCTTTCTTGATTACTACTATGAATACTACGTTTTAGAAGGTTTGGGATAGGGCCTAGAATTCTATACTTTGGAAAGCTCCTTGAGTAATTCTGATATTACTAACAAATTTTACAGCAATTTTATTTTCATTAGATGTCTCGTGTGTAGTCTGTTTCATCTTCAGATGCAGGGTATCTTTTAATGAGATCTTTTTGGAATTTTCCCTAAATGTTTCCTATTTAGATGATTATAGGTCATATTAGAGTTTAAATACCAGTATTTTGGAAAGGTGAATCTACGTAATTAACCTGCTTTCCTTACTGATATTTGACATTTAAATTTTTTTTTTTTTAACTGAAAAAATAAACAACTCTAGACATGGATAAAGAAGATGCATTAATTTGCTTTGAAGAACATATTCGTGCTTTAGAAAAGGAAGAAGAAGAAGAAAAACAGAAGAGTTTGCTGAGAGAAAGGAGACGACAGCGTAAAAACAGAGAATCTTTTCAGGTAATAGAAATCTTTTTTAGCTTAATTTTGTAACATAATTAATGAGCTTGGACAGTGCTGTAAACAATTTTGAGACATCTGATGACAGATCACTAAAGAGTTAAATGTGTATAAACACTCTACAAAGCCTAAGTTAGTGATAAACACATTTAACTCTTAAGTTCTACAATTAGTTGTAAATCCACTTAAGGAGAACAGCCATTTTACTCTAGGGGAACATAGAATGCTGTAACATATTTGGTATTTAAAGTGCCCACTGATAGATAAGATTTCACATGGGAAAGAGGAAAAGGATGAGAGAAGACTGAAAACGAAATGTGTGTGATGAGTTATTTTATTGTAGTAAGAGTTGGTTTTAGGCTCTAAGAATCATAGGGAATGCTGTGGTAGATTTGAGGGGATGGGCCATAATTCTAAAATGCTGTACATAGGAGCTGAAATTATATATCTTTTATATAGGCTAGTGTCTCATTTTTACCTCTAAGTATCACTTGTTCTCTCAGTAATGGAAAATATCACGGACCAATGAATTTTTACATTTTGTATTTCACCAGATTTCTCATCTCAGTGATGATTATAATAATAGTAGTTAGCATCAATTGATTGCTTACTGCTTATACATTTTAAATTTAAATCTCTTAATTTTTATGACAGCCTTATAAGAGTAGGTACTATTTTTGTTATGTCCATTCATATAGATAAGGAAATGGTCTGGGAGAAGCGAAGTGATTTCCCCAAATTCAGCTACTGAATAGTGGAGCCAGAATTTAAATCTATACAGGCTTAATTACAGGGTCTCTTCCATTAAACACTGTATTAGGATAAATGCTAAGTTACAGTGGCTTAAACAAGTTTATTTCTTGAAATAACAGCTGTTTGGTCTAGGGTAGGGTACATTGCCATGCCCTAAGGCAGCGATCCTCAAAACTTACTGTGGGTCAGAATCACCTATCAGGCTTTTAAAAAACTCAGACCTCATGCCATAGGTCACTAACCATCTTTAATGCCACAGCTAATAGTAGTATTTCAGTCCTCATTCCATTGCAACTTAACATTTCTGCTTTTCATGGGTTCCTTTATCTTAGTGGTTTCCCAAAGAATTATTCAGAGGATTGTTAAAACCACAGATTCTTGAGCCTCACCACTGGAATTTGATAGTAGGTTTGGAGTGGGCGCTGAGAATTTGTATTTCTGATAAATTTCCAGGTGATAGTGATGTATGGCCCTTACTTTGAGAATTGCACTAGGCCAGTAGCCTTGTCTGTGTGATTTAGGAATATGTTGATCATGTTTCAATTTGGAAGAAGTTGAAAGTGCAGTTGTTTTTCAGTCCAGTATTGTGGAAAGTTCTACTCACTTCCTTGATTCTCAGTTGCCGAGAATTTAGTCACATAGTCATGAGCTGCTACAAAAGAGGCTAGAAGACCTAGATTTTTCACTAAATAGCTATGTGCCCAGGAAGAAGGGGAGAACAGATTTTAGGAAGTCAGTTATACTCTTTTGAAACATTGAGTTTTAATGTCTCTTATGAAGGTTTGCAATGGTTTAAAATAGAGACCTATGTGGTAAAATAATAATATAATAAAAATAAGGAAATCTGGGTCACAGAAAATACAGTCTCAATTCTAAGACTAGAGAATGTGGAGGAGAAATCCTAATATAAAAGGCCACATGAGTCTTTGTAGCTAAGCCTGAAGTATGCTTTAGATCAGATTGGTATTTACCTGGCATGGATTCTGATTACTATTGATATAGCTGGTGTTACCATGTTATATTGATTTTGCTTTAGATATCCAGCTCAGTAATTTTCCTGTGTTATTACTACAGTACCTATCAAAAGGTATATTTAGAATGTCAGTAAAATAAATTAGAAGATTGACATTTAGAATAAAAGATCATAAATGGCAGGATATTTTCAGTAGTAATCATTATGATGATGGCTGTCATTTTATTGAGTACTCATTTGCCCATCAAGTAATAATAAATAATTGTCACATCTATGACAAGGAACTTGATTTTTTTTAAATCTTAAAACTGGTATTTAAATTAATATCAAGAGTAGGAAAAAATGATCAGGGGCTTTAACAGAGAACCAGGGGAGTCTGTAGTATCTCAGAAGCCAAGATGGAGTTTTAAGATAGAGCAGTGGTCCTCAGAGCATGACACTCAGATGCATAGCATCAGTGTTACCTGGGAAGTTATAGAAATGCAGATAATCAAACCCCACACCAGACCTACTGAATCAAATCTGGGGGTGGAGTCCAACAATTTGTGGTTTTTACCAGTATTTCAAATGATTCTTTGAGAAACTGCTAAGATAGAGGAACCTACCAAAAGCAGCAAATGTTGAGACTATGAAATAAGATTGAAGGAATAGTATTAAGTGTAGCGTTTAAAGTATTTAGTGACTATTGATATGGTAGAGAAAGTTAAAGGTATGTAGGGAGAAAATTAGACCTTTCTCTCAGATATTTTGATGATAAGATAAACTTCAAGTGAGCTCAGGATTAAGAGAATGGCTTTTCTTATGAGAAATCAGTCAAGAAAAGAATGAAGAATTGAATGATAGAGGAGGTATCTGTGAAACAAAATCTTAGAAGGTTCGGAATTCAGCATATATATGAATAGTTATTATGAACAATATATAGGGAAACAAAAGGAAGGAGTTGTGGGGAGGGGCATACTGAACTGGCTCTGAAAACTGAGTTTCAAGGTTGGGAACCTCTCCTCTAATGGAAGGAGAAATACCAGGCTCAGCCATCTGTGGAGCAACTTGCTTTCCATAAGGTAGAAGAATAGACTCTTGCCCCATCTTACCCCCAAGATGACGTTAGTAAATAAAAAAAGAACCATACAATTTTAGTATAATGGTTTTTAAATCTGAATTCACCTCAGAGTTATCTGGTGATCTTTAAAAAGAAAAATTACAAACGTGGATTTTAGCCCATATATATATATATTTTTTTAATTTTCAGGTGATTCTAATTTTCACTCATGATTCACTTTTTTAAATGTTTTTGAAACATTTAATAAAACAAAAAGTTTAGGATATAATCATAAGAAGAAAGGAAAATGGATATAAAATCATTTATGTTATCTCAATTTTGGAAAAAATATTTACATAAACTGACGGGAAATATGTTAGTCTGTTAATTGTGATTATCTCTGGGTCATGAGATTATGTGCGATCTCTAATTTTCTTCTTAATGTTTTCATTGAATCTTCTACGTTGTCTCCACTAGACATAAGTTTTATAACAAAGACAAAATTTTATAAAAAGTCATCTGTAGTAGCTCTTACAGATCCCTCACTCAGACGTGCTTGTATGCAGGTTGGGTGTTTTTCATTGAGTTTTAGATGTTCAGCTTATTGTTTTTCAAGGGGAGAGGTCTGAGGACATCTCTCACCCCACCATGCTTCTGGCATCACTCCCTCACGGATTCACTGTTGAAATGGTTTTAATATCAAAATTCTTTGACTTTATCAGATCTTAGCAACCTGGAAGTAAAACAGAAACACTAGCAAAGCAAGTATGATAGAGTGAAGTAGCTTTTTTAGGTTCTAGAGAGCATCATTGAAGGTGATTTCTAAGCTATTTTAGGGACGCAAAAGAAGGAGCACGTGAAGAACTTGATCACACAATAGGGTTTGGTTAAGATAATATTCCATATGTTGAAAGGTAGGAGCAAAAGGATGTTAAGTTTGAGACAAGAATTTTGGAAATGTAAAACTGTATGGACATAGTTATTCTTGTTTGAAGAGATGTAGAATTATAGGTATCTGGTGTTATTCAGGGTAGTGCTATCTAATAAAAATTCATAAGCCATATATGCAATTTTAATTTATTAATTTCTAATTTTAGTAATCTTTTATTTCACCCAGTATATCCAAAATACCATTTTAACATGCAATTGGTATTTTTTAAAATCTGTATTTTTTGGTAATAAATCTTCAAAATCATTGTTATATACTGTTGGCATATCTCAGTTCAGACTAGATACATTTAATGTTCTCAGAAGCTACATTTGACTGGTATCTCCAAATTGAGCAGTGCAGGAATAGAAATTTTAGGAGAATTTTGGGCCATAGTTCTTTAAGGACATTTGTTTATAGGATTTAAATCCCTAAGGATTTGGGGAAGCAGGAGATTTCTGAGTACTAAAATCCCAATATGTTGCTCTGAAAGTCAGCAAATAGTATAAAATGATAAAAGGAATTGGAAAAAGCATATAAAGATTTAGATTTAAGGTATAATAATATTATTAAGAAAGAAAGGAAATAGGTTTTGAAATTAGATATGTCTTCCTATTAAGAGGCCCACATTTGTTAACAAAATTAAAAAATCACCCAGAATATATCAGGCACTATGCCTAAAAACAAAAAGTATATTTTATAGGAAACTTGTATACATGTTCTTTAGCATCATCATTTGAGCTAGACGATATCTAATATATTTTTAAACTGGAAATGATATTCCATCTTACAGAACAATAAATTGAAGCCTGGAAAGAAAATGTAGCTTTTTTAAAGGCCCTTTTCTTTGAGGTAATGTCCTTAAAGATGACTTTAATACAATGGGTTTGTTTTTTATGTTGGTTTAAAAAAAATTTTTTTCCTCAGATATTTTTAGATGAGCTGCATGAACATGGACAACTGCATTCTATGTCATCTTGGATGGAATTGTATCCAACAATTAGTTCTGACATTAGATTCACTAATATGCTTGGTCAGCCGGGTGAGATTCTTTTCTTTTTTCACTTACAGTTAATGATAGTAGTTGGAATGGGTCAGAGGGAAATATGATTGTGTTGGGAAATGGGGGTGCTTTATTTTGTTTTATAAACAAAAAAATAATTGCAGCTCTTTGGTTAGAGCTAGCTTTTGACTTCTTTAGTTTTTTCATTAGGATCAACTGCACTTGACCTTTTCAAGTTTTATGTTGAGGATCTTAAAGCACGTTATCATGATGAGAAGAAGATAATAAAAGATATTCTAAAGGTAAATAGTATACCGTTAGCTGTTAACCTGTGGTATATTTTAAAAATTGATCTTATATTCCTTTGATATATGTATTAACAAGATTTCTGTTTTTTAGGATAAAGGATTTGTAGTTGAAGTAAATACTACTTTTGAAGACTTTGTGGCAGTAATCAGTTCAACTAAAAGATCAACCACACTAGATGCTGGGAACATTAAGTTAGCTTTTAATAGTGTAAGTTATCTTTGCTATTCTAAACAAATTGTTTTATTTAATAGCATGGTTTTTAATATATTCAGCCAAAGTCAGCTACTGGACTAAAGGAATATGAGTACAATTTCATAAAGTAATAGTCTTCCAGGGTAAGGTAAAGGAAAATAATATATTTAGATGTTGGGCTGATGTAGAGCTTTTTTTGCTCAAATTAACCGGTGTTATAAATTTGCCCTTAACTTATCAATGATGAGAGAATAGTTAAATTAAGAATAATGATTCATTTCAATTAACAAACAAAAATTATAATTGCACTATTATAACTGATTAAATATGATTTTCTGAAAGTTACTAGAAAAGGCAGAAGCCCGTGAACGTGAAAGAGAAAAAGAGGAGGCTCGGAAGATGAAACGAAAAGAATCTGCTTTTAAGAGTATGTTGAAACAAGCTACTCCTCCAATAGAATTGGATGCTGTCTGGGAAGATGTATGTATATTTGTAAATTATTTCCTAATGAACTGTTTCCTTTCAATTGAAGATATAAATACTTTCAATTCCTTATTTTATAGCCTCAAAAATAAGCTCAAGTTCTTTGTAGAGTATATTAAACATATTAAGGCTATATTACAAGTGTAAAATGAGCTGTGACTGCATTTAGAAATATACTTATTAAAAATAGTTTGGGCTTTAGAGGAAAGGAAATAATATTGGCGTTGAGGTGACGACTGTCACAGTTTTCACTTAGGTTTAGGTTTCTAAGTTTTCACTTAGTTTAGGTTTCTTTTTAGTCATACTGGTATACTCGTCTTGGTATTAATATGTTCCATTTCTGAATTTTTCAGATCCGGGAGAGATTTGTAAAAGAGCCAGCATTTGAGGACATAACTCTAGAGTCTGAAAGAAAACGAATATTTAAAGATTTTATGCATGTGCTTGAGGTAATTTTATTATTTTCATAACCGGCTGAAATATAAAATATATAAAAAGATAAAAATTAAGGAATTCAGAGTAAACAAGTATGTTTTCTTAAATAATACTGCTTTTATACATATTTAGTTACCTAGGGTGGTTAGGGAATGTTTATAGAAACTCCTTTTAAGTGAAACAAAGCTTCCATGAGAATATAGATTTATTTGTGGAGACCGTTCATATTTGTTGCGTACTTCTACAGTGTTTTGGGAATTCAGCAGCCACATGGACTAGTAAACCTAAAAGAAAACTTAGAATCTTGTAAAGCAGATAATAAATAGCTTTTAACACGTATTTCAAATACTATATCAGATGTGCTGAAAGTTCAGGGGGGTTCAAAAAAATAAGGAAATAAGTAGTTTTTGTTAGAGTAATAATAAAATTGCAAGTTATTCGGATGGCTGAATAAGGGTGTTTTGATGAAAATTTCAAATAGGCACTTGTATATAGTAAATATGCTAAATTGACCAGTAATTACTGAATAATATTTGGTGCCTTTGGGGCCAGACACCATTCTAATTATTAGACAGATATTACATATATGAGCTTAAATCCTTCCAACAACCCTATGAAGTAAACTGAGGCAAAGAGAAATAAATTAATTTGCAGGAAAGGGATTCCAACCCAGGCTATTTGACTCCAGGGTAGTACTTTAAACAAACATGCTATATTGCCAGTTATAAACAAACCAATACTTTACAACAAACAGAAAGCTGGCACTTGTTTATTAGTGTTGCATGGTCATAGGGCATAGCAGGTAGCTTATTTCCATGTATTTATTCTTGATGAATATCAGTGTTGACAAGTTTGTTCTATTAATGTACCCACATGTACACTGTAGTTTTCCAGCTGCCTCTAGATTTAGTCCTTTGGTCCTCAAGATTTTCTGCTCAAAGTATGTTTTGGACTAGCAACATTGTATTACCTGAGAGCGTTAGAAATGCAAAACCCTTCAGGCCTCATCAGAATCATTTCAACAAGATTTTCAGGTATTGGACATTAAATTTTCAGAACCTCTACTCTAGGTAGTGTCTTAACATTTACCCAATTCAAGAATCTCCAGCAAGATTCTTTCATGATCTGTTCATGGGGGTAGAGTGGTGAAGTCGTAAGTGGAGATAAAAATAGTAGCATAGGGAAGGGCTGGACCTTGAGGTAGAAAAGGAAGAGTCACCATTCAGTGATAAAAATAAATACAATGAAAGTCCTTTCTGAGCCAGATTTTCCATTTCCACTTATAAACTGCAGAATTTCTTTTCAAAACCATACATATGTTGGAGTTAAGGAGCTTTTACCACAGCATTTCCCCTTTCCTATTCGCTTGATAATTTGTTTTAATAAAACAAAATCCACAGAAACATTTCCTTTTCCAATTCCATGTGGGTTAGAGTTAGCTTACCTATGGATGAATGTCTTTAAGTAGGACAAGGAAGGGAATGCTCCTTGGGTGAAAATAAAGAGTAGATTGTGTATTTGTTCTGAGATCAACCTCATTTATCTTAGCTCAGGGACAACTAGCTCAGGGACAACTCTGAGGTAGTTCTTTATCTTGGAGCTGAGCCATCAGATAAACCATATCTGAATATAATGTTTCATTGTTTTCAAAAGCAGTGTGACTGTTCTGCAAATTATACCTTTTTGGAGTGTACTGTTTATCCCCGTTACCCCACATCATTCTTATTCCTATAAAAAATACTTTATTCATAGTTTTTAATATTGTGTTTAGGTATCTAAATGTCTGGTGGGTATAAGATGGTTAAGAAAAGGCAAGAGAACATTCTAAACAGTTATAATTCTTTGCAATTTCAAATATATATATATATATTTGAAATAGAGTAAAATTCCATTTTGTATAAGAACTTACTTGTATGACTTGTTATAATTCTTTATGATCTGCTTACTGTCTAAATGTAAATTCTTGGCATTTTATTTTCTTTTGCCCTGTAGCATGAATGTCAGCATCATCATTCAAAGAACAAGAAACATTCTAAAAAATCTAAAAAACATCACAGGAAACGTTCCCGTTCTCGATCGGTAAGGAATTTTATTAGATGGCACCATATGTGTATTGAAATATTTGTTAGCATCATTATGAATGAAATTATTTGTATTGTTTAGGGGTCAGATTCAGATGACGACGACAGCCATTCAAAGAAAAAAAGACAGCGATCAGAGTCTCGTTCTGCTTCAGAACATTCTTCTAGTGCTGAGTCTGGTAAGCATCTTTTAACTTGATTAAAATCATTGACACTTGGATGTCCTCAAATTCTGACTTTCCTTTCCATGCTGTTTAGAGAGAAGTTACAAGAAGTCAAAAAAACATAAGAAGAAAAGCAAGAAGAGGAGGCATAAATCTGTAAGCAAGCTTTTATTTTACACTGGGCTTTTGCCCTCAGTGGCAGTAGAACCATTTTCTCCCTAGTCCAGTGCAGTCTGGTATAGTTTAGGTGGACACCTAAACTCAAGATGTTTGTTGATCTTCGTCCAAATCCTTTGGTGAAGATTACCACTCTGTTTTATGTATGTTACTGCTGTTTTGAGAACCAACAGTTTAATTAATTTTAGGTACACATCAAGATACACCTAAGGAGCTTTTTCAAAATGTAAGGGCCTCGGTGTTACCATAAACCTGTTAAACAAGATTTTTTTTCGTGCTGCTTGCTTGAATTTGTGCATATCTAATGAAAGACTGCTTATTTAGGCATTGGTATTACATTTTAAATAATTCTTGCCTCAGCAATTTTGAGGAAAGAATTAGTTGTCAACCTAGTATATGATTAACTAAGTTAATCATAGCATCCTATATACATGCCTAAATAAGCCAGTATTTTATTGGGTGGGTGGAAAATGTTATATCTACATTTCCATATTAGATATAATCCATTCTTGAGTGTACCTTCATCCCTAATCTAGTGAAGCTCTTTTAGTGATATATAACTCAATGAGAATGTCATCCTCCTATAGGAAAGACCACTCTCCATGAATCCTGGGTCTGTTATAGACTCCTTGAGTTTAAATTTTACCACTCTGGGAATACATACTCCGTTATATGTAGATTCTTAAATATTACCTACATAGGGATTTTTAAAAATAAAATGATGTTGCCATCAAATGGTAAATAACACTCTTTATTTACACAGGACTCTCCAGAGTCAGATGCTGAGCGAGAGAAGGATAAAAAAGAGAAAGACCGGGAAAGCGAAAAAGAGAGAACTAGACAAAGATCAGAATCAAAACACAAATCACCTAAGAAAAAGACTGGAAAGGATTCTGTAAGTACTTAGAATTCTTTCATACCTGTATTTTCAAAAAGAAAAATGGATACTGTGGTTAAAACTATGATGGTGTTTAAAGAAGAGTTTTTCAGGTCTGCTGCCATTAAAGGAAAAAATGAAAATTCAGCTGCTTTTCACATAAAACTTTTCTAATGGATGTGACGCATATTGAGTGTCTTAAATTTTATATTCCTTAAAAAATAAGTAATGGAGTGCTGTTATTTTTGTCAAGTCATTGAGAAAGGATGGTCTGCTTTTGCTTTCTCGGAAGTGCCACTGGGCATTTTCTACCTGTTAAAGGAATATAAAATTAAAGAGCCTCAAATGTTCGCAATTGTCGTTACTAAATACAGTTTCAAAAGGTAGCATTCCAATAATTTTTAGAAATCATTGGAGGTTTAGGGGGAGGGCAAATGGATAGGAAGGGACTACATGCCAAAGTTAATATTTTAATATCAAATTACATAATTAGTCCTTATGTTCCCATATGTGTGTACATACATATGTATGAATGACAGAGCATAGTAACACAAGCCTTAGCCTTGCCATTCCTTCCACAGAATCACAAATGGAGAAGTTAAACTGTGTAGATTAGCTCTGGCCCTCCCTCTGGATATTCTCTTGCTATAGGGTGGAGGGTTCTTTAAATGCTGCACTGGTGAGTCTAATACACATCCTTGATGAAAAAATGAGTATTTCCTATATACCTGTTAGCAGCTTAATAGCTTCTTCCTTACAGTAGGTTAAAGGAAATCCCTGAAGGGAAGGATAGGTGAGCTATCCACGTTTCAAGTTTATTTCCCACAAATAATGCAGTATTTGAAAAATTTTTCCTTCAGCCTAAGTCTTGTATTGTTCAAACCATCTTGTATTGCTTAAACCATCCTTTTTGTAATATAAAACATTTATAGGACAACATAGAATCTGCAGAATTAGTAAGGAATATAGTGCCTAGGAAATTGAACACCTGGCTTCCATTAAATGGATACTAGATATTTCATGTTCATTTGTAAGAATTTCCTCTGATA